TTGTGCAAGCAGGCTGTGCGTGAGGTAGCTATCATCAGGCACACCAATAAGAAAGTGTCTTCTATTCAGATCTTAAAGAAACTGCAAGCGGGCTGTACGAGAGGTAGATATCAGCAGGCACACCAATAAGAAAGTGTCTTCTATTCAGATCTTAAGGAAGCTGTACAATATATATTTAAAGCAGTCACAATATTATGTTAACTGTGTCATTCACCCTTTACCAAGACGTCTGGTAGACAAATTGTTTCAATTAGTATTTTGATGGGAGGTGAATCAAGAAGAAATTACTTCATTAGGTAAACTAGGAATGTGACTAATTGTCATATTATATGTTATTAAAGTAATATACAAGTGGTGATGTATGATATGACCACTATGATTCTAGACATGTCTACTTGTAATTTGTCTACAGTCTAATCTCTGTCACTCTCTATTATCTTATTTTAACTCATTAGAATGGTGTAGACATAAAGGATCAAGCAGCTTTCCAAGATAACTTGTAATAAGTTTAGAAATGTCTTATTAGACAGCTCCTTCAACTTAGTTTATAGTACTAATGGTTGTCCTCTAGTTGAGAACAGTTACACTGCCTAAGAATATATTGCAATATCTTTATCATCATTCATTCCAGTCTTCAACAACCTGCTATCTGTCATGTGCGTACAATGGAGTACTCTATAGAAAGTCACAAAATTCTGCCTTTTCACTCAAGAGCCCACATTTCTACAAAGTCTAGTTAGGTTATGTCTTGTGAAATATATGTCACTGTTGGATTCCTGCCCTGTATGAATTTATTTCTGGAGGGAGCAGATCATATAAGTTTTATTCACTGAAATGGGTCAAATTTGTTCAAGAGCATAGTTTTTACAGACCAATTGTTGAATTTCCCCTTAAATTTTCCTTGAACAAGTTAAAATGCAATAGTCTGAGACTAGCATCATTAGTTCTTTCTTCTTGATTTCTGTTTAATTTTTACAGCCTTCTAAATCACCTCATGAAACTGTGATCAACATTTGATCTATTCTAAATACTCCAAGAATAAATGGACTGTAGACATATATTATTGTTTTCTGATAAACATCAAAGCTTTGTGGATAATAAACTTTAATATAACCCTCCATAAATTTTAAAACAATCCTGATATCACTTCTCGCTCAGACAAAACAACTTTTTAATGAAACTCCAAAATCAATCAGTTCATATTACCTATCCTATCTCTTTAAGTAATTCAACATAATTAATCTAGTCTATAGATAATAATACATCTGAATCAAAACAGTAGATCATGTTACAGATTCTAATAGGGGATGTGTTTTTTAGTCAAACAACAATAAACAAAGAAAAAAAAATGGCGTGGATTTCATTTCCAATTATTCTAATAATCTTTATAAAAACATCAGTCCAGTTTAAAAACAACCATTGAAGCTTAAACTACAGCTGATGTTACAGGATTCATTCTTGGCCAAGTAGAATGAAGTCAGAACTGAACAGTTCATATAGCGAGGCATTAATACATTCTTTGGTCCTTTTTAACTGCTATGCAATACATATTATGTCAAAAAGGTAAACATATCCTTCCAGAGAGCTCAAATTAATAGCAACTTTTTTTTGTAAACAATATTTCATTCATATAAAATTGAAAAGGATTTGAGAAGAGGCGTTTGCTTATATCAATAGCAGCTTCAACGACCTCGAATCAACAGCACGAAAGACTTCCAATAGCAGCACCAATGACCCAAAATCAATAGCAGCACCAAAGACCTAAAAAAAAAACAGCAGCATCAAAGCAGCACCAAAGACCTAAAAAAAAACCAGCAGCACCAAAGACCTCAAATCAATAGCACCAAAGACCTCAAATCAATAGCAGCACCAAAGACCGCAAATCAATAAAACCGCAAAAGACCTCAAATCAACACCACACAACTACTCAAATAAATAGCAGCACCAAAGACCTCAAATAAATAACAACATCAAAGACCTCAAATCAATAGGAACATCAAAGACCTCAAATAAATTGCAGCACCAAAGACCTCAAATAAATAGCAGCACCAAAGACCTCAAATCAACACCACACCACTATTAAAATAAATAGCAGCACCAAAAACCTCTAATAAATTGCAGCACCAAAGACCTCATATCAATAGAAACACCACCACCAAATACTTCTAGCACCAAAGGCCTCAAAGTAGCACCAAAGACCCCGAGTTCGACAGCACCATCAAAAGCCACAAATCATTTGTTAACTATCAGGTGAAAATGTTAGGTCATGTTATATTACTGTGATAAATAGAACTGCTCCAAGCTACTTATAACAGTTATTATTCATTTATAGACAGGCCAAGTAATCTGGGAATCGGTAAACGACCGTAAACTTATCACCTAATATAGGTCATAATGGTAATGCTGGAGATTATATTCTATTCATCTCACTATATTGATGACAATCTAATGACAATGTGAATTTATACCGGTAATAATGTCACTCCTCTTGTTTTATCCAGACCATACAGTCATAATTGACAGATAACAAATGATATTATTAATATTATTAGATCAGTTATCCAGTCTGATTGAAAATTAAACTTTTTTGTTAGATTGACAACTCCACTGATAATAGATCTGTACAGAATCTCTTTCATCAAGGTTCATCATTCTGAAGAATGACCTTATGATGTCATGGCAGGACAGCTATCTCAGACATAACGCAAAACATACCTTTGGATTTGTCAAAATTAAGGATTTGTAAATAGTGCTTCGTGAGATTTAGATGGCCCACCTGATTACTGTCTCCATAGCTGAAACAAATTAACAGATCTACATAGTGTATGCAAACCTATCAACAACTTCTTGAACTGTATCACAAGGTTAGTCAACATGACTTCCCTACATCAACAGCATCCCATCATCAACAAGTCCTGTAATGTTATTTCAAATTGGTAAATTGATTATTAGCCTTCACTGTCTAACATAAAATTGTTACCAAAGGTTTGGCTGCCAGTATAGAATATATCTAAACATCATATATCAATCCCAAACTTAAAATATGCCAATATTCTATTTTGACTTAAAAATGATTCAAAACCTAACCTCTCAATTGATCATGTATACTTACGAAATAAAAACAGTGATAAAAGAGTTAATATTGATATAAAATGATGGATGGTAATGGGTTAAAATATCAATTTTGTGAGTTTAGTAAATGATATAGGTTTGGTTATTGACTTAAGCCCTGATTTAAACAACTTGTGTCAATTTAACTCTCTTAAGTCAGCTTAACTTTGACAATGTTATCAATAACTAATAGAAATAGATACTAGCAAATCTGTCAGAATAGGCAACTTTATAATCCTGTTTTCAAATAGATTTATATAACTATGTTTGAAAAGAAACCAATATTCCAATATAAGCACAAATATTATGGAAAACCCATCACTATAATGGATCATTGCATGAATGAGAAAAACAAATGAATTGCACTACAACAAGCACACTTAAATATCTATTCTGTAACTCTATCTATTGCAGAGTGTTCAAATAGTTTATACTGTTTATTAGTTTTTCTGAACGTGTCAAAGAATTTACCCTTACAATCAGAAGTTAACCAAATATATTACAAAATAAAACAAAACCAGAAAAAACATCTAAACCTTTTTAATGCAAAGAACTTTGGAAAACACATACAGCATACATAGCACAAATTTAAAGGGACATTCCGCTTTTTTTGTAGGTCGAAAATTTTATTTGCTCAAATTTGTGAAACTTTACACTAAAATCTAGAGAAATGTGCCCTTTAACATATCTGAAAATTTAAGCTGAAAACAATATTTAAAAATATTACGTAAGGTTTTTAAGTTCGTTATCCTTTTTTGAATCAGTCAAAAAAATTACTGTACGGATTTGAGTAAAATAAACACCTTATTGTAGAGAAATATGTCTCCTACCTTTGCTAAAGATTTCAACTAAATATAACGAGCCAAAAGTCAAACACCAAAACTATGCCAAACTGCTAAATTAACAATTGGTACCCCCCGTTTTTAATTAACTCTTTCAGGTATAATTTTCAACGTTTTTGATAATGAAAACATTTTACAAAAAAGCGGAATGTCCCTTTAATGTTTGCTATGTTATAATGTATGTGTGAAAGTTGTACAATATAATCACCATGTATGTGATGTGATTTAATAATGAAGGTATCATAATAGTGATAATCTTTGTGATTACATTGTGATTAGTAATATTTAACTTTCTACCTGACTTTACAATCTATCACTTTCATCTTTCTCATAGCTTTAATTCATATACTACACCTATCTCTTTTACATTTAGAGAACTTCTTTTTTATGTATCCCTAACAACCACTATGTCTTGAAGCTTAGCCTACAACACCTTGAAAATTTCTTGATAGACACCTTTTATTTACATCTCAGATATAACTTCTTGTAACTCATAGAAATTTTCTGATATTCAATGTGCAAAAATCCAGTAAATGTCAAATCTGCTTCATATTCTTTTGCTTTGTTTAAAAAGGCAAAATTCTACAATCAGATCTTGAAATTCAGCTTATTCAGTCAAGATCAAGGTTCAAGATCTAAAAAAGGTTACTGAAAATGTTGAAAAAGACTTGGGGCGTAATTCAGCTGGCAACAGATAGAATTTAAACATGAATGAAATATCAAGAGAGGGTTACACCCCTGTAATTATAGGCTATGAAGTGCTCCTGAAATATATACACCTATTTCAAACAAATGGTAAAAGAATAAATTGCATAATTGTCATACATATCATTGGCTCAATTATATAGAAGTTTTCAAATATCGGCCACCCATCACCATTTGAATAAGGATCCGTGGTGAATCAGTAAGTTCATTGAATCACAGCACAACCAATTCCATGGCCTGTAGTTTTGAGACCCAAACCTTGACCTTATGCATTAAAAAGTTCAGAAGTTTATTTAGAGAAATTAATGGCATATAGAAAGTAAAATAAATTTTCACCAGTCTTTAGGAGAAAAAGTAAGAAATGTCCACAAAAAGTTTGTGATATTGGGTATCTGAACTTGGCTGTTTCTTGCCTCTAAAACAATATGTTTCCTGCCTGTAAAAACAATGTGTTTCTTGCCTGTAAAAACAATGTGTTTCTTGTCTGTAAAAACAATGTGTTTCCTGCCTGTAAAAACAATGTGTTTCTTGCTTATAAAAACAATGTTTTTCTTGTCTGTAAAAACAATGTGTTTCTTGCCTATAAAAACAATGTGTTTCTTGCCTATAAAAACAATGTGTTTCTTGTCTGTAAAAACAATGTGTTTCTTGCCTGTAAAAACAATGTGTTTCTTGCCTATAAAAACAATTTGTTTCTTGACTGTAAAAACAATGTGTTTCTTGCCTGTGTGTTTCTTGCCTGTAAAAACAATGTGTTTCTTGCCTATAAAAACAATGTGTTTCTTGCCTGTAAAAACAATGTGTTTCTTGCCTATAAAAACAATGTGTTTCTTGCCTGTAAAAACATGTAAAAACAATGTGTTTCTTGCCTGTAAAAACAATGTGTTTCATGCCTGTAAAAACAATGTGTTTCTTGCCTGTAAAAACAATGTGTTTCTTGTCTGTAAAAACAATGTGTTTCTTGCCTATAAAAACAATGTATTACTTGCCTGTAAAAACAATGTGTTTCTTGCCTGTAAAAACAATGTTTCTTGCCTCTAAAAACAATGTGTTTCTTGCCTCTAAAAACAATCTGTTTCTTGCCTCTAAAAACAATGTGTTTCTTGCCTCTAAAACAATGTGTTTCTTGCCTCTAAAACAATATGTTTCCTGCCTATAAAACAATGCCGGTAAAGACAATGTGTTTCTTGCTTGTAATAACAATGTGTTTCTTGTCTGTAAAAACAATGTGTTTCTTGCTTGTAATAACAATGTGTTTCTTGTCTGTAAAAACAATGTGTTTCTTGCTTATAAAAACAATGTGTTTCTTGTCTGTAAAACAATGTGTTTCATGTGTGCAAAAACAATGTGTTTCCTGCCTATAAAAACAATGCCCGTAAAGACAATGTTATATATAATGCTAATTAAAATTCAGGTCAACCTTGATTCAATGTCAGACAAAGTACCAAAGTAAAATTTATTTTCTAATAAATGTCCACACTTGTGTTTGAGTCACTACTAACTAGAGGTGATGACAAGATAGCCAGTCCTTACTAATTAAAGTTACCTAAAGTAAATAACTTTCTATTAACAAGTACCTAAAGTTTGTCTTCTGTCCACCCAACTTTTATGACGTAAAATTTGTCAGTTACCTTACTCACCCTTGTAAAACAGCCCAGTAATTTGTCAGACTAACAAACTGTGTATCTTGCAGACTAACAACTGTATTATGATATCGTATGACATCCATTGAAAAAATATTACCTCTACTCTCACTTACAGGCTTGACAGTTATTTAACTAGGAATGTCACAATTATTTTTGACACCAAGCCTACTTCTTAAGTCATACACTTTTTTCCCTTGTCAAAGATAACCATGGTTTAATTTTTAGGCTGAAATTGCGGTATTACAATCTTATTGAATAGAAGTTACATTCCTTACATCTAAAAAAAAAACAAACAACGCCTACATAACCTATATAATTGTTGGGTTTAATAGCCATTTAAGGGATTGTAAAGATGTTTTTTGATGTATATCAAAGACAATGATAGCAACTTGTTGTACAACTTGATTTTACAGTCAGAAGTCTGTTGTTCTTGCAATAAAACTAGGTGTTTTGGACCTCACTATTTGGCAAAGGCCCCTATATTAGCAGTTCAAGAGTGTCCAATGTCTAAAAGATTTTAATAATGTAGCTATCACACCAGTTGTTAATAATATGTAGAACAATTGCTATATTCAGAAATGAATGTCTTGAATTTTTTATATTTTGGTGTGTCAGTTTTCTTAAACTACAGGAGTATTTGTAAGGTGTTGATTTTATAAGATTAACAAAGCTATTTAATTCAAGTCATGTATTAATGTCTTGTCTTGAACAACTATCAAACAGTAGCCTAATGACATAGTGATGACACTGGGTCAAGAAATGTTTCCTCTACCAATTAACCTATTGACCTTCTTTAAATAACCACCGGTCATCTCAGGACACTAGATCTTCTAGTTAAACAATCTGACCAGTCATAAATACTCTCTCTAAAAATAAAGGTAGGGCAGTGTAGGAAATACACTTGTTCTCAGGCAAGGGACCAGCCATTTTTTTTTAACTCAAAGCCATTTCTCCAAGTCCATTTAACATCGCTTTTTTTTTAATATCTTACTTACTTAAATAAGCATTCTCAAATAAAGATATACATATATAGACACCCACATGAATTTTCTTTTATCTTTCAGTATATATTGGACAATGTTCTAGCTTGTATCTAGATATATTGGACAATGTTCTAACTTGTATCTAGATATATTGGACAATGCTGTAACTTGTATTTAGATATATTGGACAATGTTCTAACTAGTATCTAGATATATTGGACAATGCTGTAACTTGTATTTAGATATATTGGACAATGTTCTAACTTGTATCTAGATATATTGGACAATGCTGTAACTTGTATCTAGATATATTGGACAATGTTCTAACTTGTATCTAGATATATTGGACAATGTTCTAACTTGTATCTAGATATATTGGACAATGCTCTAACTTGTATCTAGATATATTGGACAATGCTTTAACTTGCATCTAGATATATTGGACAATGTTCTAACTTGTATCTAGATATATTGGACAATGCTGTAACTTGTATCTAGATATATTGGACAATGCTGTAACTTGTATCTAGATATATTGGACAATGCTCTAACTTGTATCTAGATATATTGGACAATGTTCTAACTTGTATCTAGATATATTGGACAATGCTTTAACTTGTATCTAGATATATTGGACAATGCTTTAACTTGTATCTAGATATATTGGACAATGCTGTAACTTGTATCTAGATATATTGGACAATGCTGTAACTTGTATCTAGATATATTGGACAATGCTCTAACTTGTATCTAGATATATTGGACAATGTTCTAACTTGTATCTAGATATATTGGACAATGCTGTAACTTAAATCTAGATATATTGGACAATGTTCTAACTTGTATCTAGATATATTGGACAATGCTCTAACTTGCATCTAGATATATTGGACAATGCTCTAACTTGCATCTAGATATATTGGACAATGTTCTAACTTGTATCTAGATATATTGGACAATGCTCTAACTTGCATCTAGATATATTGGACAATGCTCTAACTTGTATCTAGATATATTGGACAATGCTCTAACTTGTATCTAGATATATTGGACAATGTTTTAACTTGTATCTAGATATATTGGACAATGCTCTAACTTGCATCTAGATATATTGGACAATGTTTTTAACTTGTATCTAGATATAATGGACAATGTTCTAACTTGTATCTAGATATATTGGACAATGCTCTAACTTGTATCTAGATATATTGGACAATGTTCTAACTTGTATCTAGATATATTGGACAATGTTCTAACTTGTATCTAGATATATTGGACAATGCTGTAACTTGTATCTAGATATATTGGACAATGCTGTAACTTGCATCTAGATATATTGGACAATGTTCTAACTTGTATCTAGATATATTGGACAATGCTGTAACTTGTATCTAGATATATTGGACAATGTTCCAATTTGCAGCTATATATTTAGTGTTAATTAAGATTTGAACAATAACCACTTTCTAACAATCTAAGAAGAATCTGCCTAAAACTGGAACTTATATCTTTAATATGCTGCAGGTGTTGACACCTGAATATTTAAATGAGAAGTTTTTATAGGTCTGTTATTTTTTACTAAGAGTATAAACGACCTGATGATCACCATGCTGAGCTTCTGGTGTAAACTGTTTTACTCTTTAACTCTTAAATGAAGCTAATAACAAATACCTCTTCTCACTCTTCCTGATAATTGACTGTGTATTTAGTTAACCATATGTTATGATAGGGTTCAGCACCATTAACATTACAGTTTCCTGGTTAACATATACAGGTTATCAAACTCTTATGGTCTTCACATGTTTAAACTTAATCTTAACTTAGGCTTTCAATTCATACACATTGCATATCCTGCATCCAAATGTTTCACTCTTTTCAAAGTTATAATATATCTATTCTTAAACCTAAAATGAACTCAGGATTTGTGCATGACTCAGCTGCAAAACAGTTGATGTTCTCTGTCTAAATATTCAACCCATTTCAAAAGTTTTATCTCTATCCTTGGACCTAATAGGAACTGATATTAGAAATGTGTTAGAAATAAATGAAGCTGTAAAACAGTTGAAGTTCTATATCCAGATGTTTAGCCTTTTGAAAGATATATTCTTTCATTGGACTGAATAGTAGGAAACAACTGTATCCAAATGGTTCAGTACTTTTTTTGTCTCTGGTAATTAGTAATTTTTACCTTTTTCAAATATTATTTTGAATATCATTATTATACAATATTCCATAAAGTTTCACATATTCTTAAGATGTTGGTAGTGGCAGATGTTACATGCAAACCAGATTATGCTTATTTTTTCGAAACACCTGATGGTACTTTTCTTTGGAGTCTACTATGCAACTTTTATACTCGATTTCGCAATACTTTGGACAAGATTTTGATTAACGGAATTGTCTTACTTGTTCAGATTTTTATTATATAGATGTTACTGTCACACTTTTAACAACCCTTCAACACAGCATTGTTTGGTTGTCATGAATTCATTCATATTAATGGAGCCCAAACATATTTATGTCCACTGTATTAATTATGTACTAATAATAAGAAGAAACACTATTGAATACAATTTACTACCAGCATTCTCCTAGAAACATGTTCAGAATCTCTATAAAATCATGATTTATGTTGATTGGGTCTGCATGATGTGATTTATTTTGAATTGCAGGGGAAACTATGTAAACAGTACCAGGAATTGAGTTGGACAAGGACATATGGAACCAATGTGTAAAATAGGACATTTTTGCCTGCAAAGTCAAATTACTGCCAATATGCTGCTTGCAATATGTTCAGAAATTCAACATTATTATGATTTTGATTTAAATATAAAAACAGAAGCTAAAAAATCATGTGGTTACTCAGGAGTTTCACGCTATGCGATATGCAGACAACTGACCTATTTTAATCTGTGTGATTTATGTTGATTATGTCTACATGATTTGATTTCTTTCCATAATTTGTCCTTTTTTAATAAAAATAGATTGTTTTTGTGAAACTATTTTTTTGACTGTGTTTTTCTAGTAGTATATTTAATATATAAGTATATATATATATCTATTTATATTTTGACTGGAGTGATGTATCTATATATTGTACAGATTAAATGAATTAAATGAACTGGTTTTCATATTGAAATTGGCATAACATAATATATAGAAAAACATTGTAATAAGTTTCAAACCTGTAAAAATATAATTAAGCCGTATGCACTGAAATTTAAGAGGATTTGTCTGGGCTAATTTTCGTTATTACACATCT